TACTGGAATTCTCGGAGCCAAACCATTCAGGGGGAATCGGTTAATCTGGAATTTTTGGCTTTGAAATGGTTAGAAATACTTTGTAAAATTATTTTGAATTTGTTTTAAGATTAAAACTTAATTTTACACTTGAGTAAGGATTAAAAACGATTTTTGAAAGATTTGGAGTAATGTTTTGATATTCGAATAGTTATATCGAATATACTTAGAAAATTATTTGGAAAATCTTAAAATTCATTTAACTTAATTTGTTATATCGAAACATCAAAATGTTTTCAACACCTCTCAAAGGTAGGTGTTTACAAGAATTTTGCTCACTAGAACAATATTTACAAGAGAGAATAAAAATAAGAATGAAAAACTTCTTCTCTTGTGTTTGATTGCTTGGATAGTTGTTCTCTTACTTCTTCAAGTGTCCTTAACTTGTATTTATAGCTTGGAATGTGTTTGATGTTGTATATAGTCGTTGGGGATGTTTTGGAGTCGTTTGGGGATGATTTTTCTACTCAAAAAGACTGCCCATAACATGGTGCATCGATACCCCTTCATTAAATTCAAATAAACTAGTCGTTACTAGCCGTTGCAACCTTGATGCATGGATGCATGGCAGGATGCATCGATGCATGGCCTTGATGCATAGATGCACACAAGGATGCATCGATGCACTAATTGCATTCGGTGTTTGAGTGCATGGATGCACTGCATGATGCATCGATGCACTAGTGCAGGTGCATGGATGCACTGCAGGGATGCATGGATGCACTGCAGGGATGCAGGGATGCACTTTGACACCCTTTATCATTTTGACTCAAATCCAATTTTAATGGACTTTGAATTTTTTTTTTGAAACCTTTTAAAACTTTGAATAAATTCAATTAAGTCCAAAAACATTTTATAAATTCAATTCAAGTCCAAAAACCATTTTGCCTTAAATTGTTATATCAAAACATAGTTCAACAGATATAAGGGCACGCCTTAGAGTTTAGAGCTCAATTGTGTATGGGAACTACAGTCCAGTACTACGGTGCTTATTGGAGACAGACGAAGAGTACGTTATGTGTTCTTTGGAGATAGTAGGAGGTTTGACCAGCACTACAATGCAATTAAAGTGTATGTCGATAGTTGGTTGGAGACTTTCTTATCTAGACTGAACTAGAAACGAAGGCTTAAATTAATTGACAAGATTAAATTAGAAGAATACATGTATATGCATGAATTGTTCAAATCGAATTGCTATATAGATTGAATTGCTTAATTCGAAATGCTATGTAGATTGTGTGTTGCATATATGGTGAATTATGACTTGCTCAAATGGAAGAAGGATTGACTTGTTTAATTGGTTGGTTGAATTGATTGCTAATTTGAATGTGTATGGTTGCGTTCTTTTCCTTATTCGAGATTGAAGCAAATTAAATTGTAACTGTGATTGATTGTAAAGATAATTACATGGTAAAAGTTAATATGGTTTTTATATCACCTCACTAAGTACTTTAAGTACTTGTCACTCTTGTTTCTTTCTTTCTCAAACTACAAATTCTAAAGTATTTTGAAGAACAACTTCCTAGCTGTTCAAACTGAAGGAAGATTGCAATTATGACTTGTTTTGTTATCTTTATACTCCTAGTCAGTGGCTTAGTTCTAAGTATAGTGGTTCAAATATCATGCATTTGGTGGGTAATTAAGTTGTTTATGAAATGTACCTAAGAGCTTACTGAAAAAGAATAGTCTATGGAGTAAATAGACCCGTAATGTATATATCGTCAATGGCTCCTTTGGAATGTATATAACTTACTAGTATGTCATTTGGTATAAACCATTAAGGGTCTCTTTTGTAATGTAAATATATAAGTTAGTTATGATATGAAGTTATAGCATGTTAAGTTCATTAAATTCCTAGATATGCATGTGGTTTTATATTAGTAATCGGCCTAATGAATTATTGATTGAAATTAAATGAAACTACCTTAGCTAAATTAGAATTCACGGTCTATCAAATTAATCGATAAGTAAATTGATTGAGATTTGATTAATCTTGTATTAAAAAATAGCTCTTCAATTGTAATGTCCATTGTGTATGTTTAATTCAATGCTTAATGGTCTCGGTAATGCTCCTAACCCTCGATTCGAGTTGGGAATATTATAATGAAATGGTAATCATAGCTTTTTGGGTCGAGTCTCATGTATCATATAAGGTTACGTTGAGCTACATAGGAGTTGTATTTAAACATACTTGTATTCTTGCCTAACCTAAAATTTCTCTTCTTGTTCTATCATAGAATGCCATAAACAAGAATGGCTTCAGATAGTGAAAGTCCCGAGGGATCCTCAAATAAAAGAGACAGTGTATGGATGGATCAGAATCCTATACAACAAGCTCAACAATGAGCCCAAATTCCTGATAAATAGGGAAATCCTACCATAAGTTCAATCCAACAAGAATGTCTCCTTAGCATAAAGGAGATGTTCGATCAACTTGTAGTCAACCTTAGACGTGATCAGCCTGTTACTTTCCCTGTTGTACCTAACAAGGCTCCTACCGATAAGTTGGCTCAACACCGAGCATATACTTTCACTGGTGCCAATGAAGATAAACCCGAAGAGGCTAAGTATTGGCTTGAGAACACCACTCAAATTTTGACCAAGTAATTGCAATGCTCAGATAAACATAAACTCGAGTATGTTGTAGCCTTGTTGGGAGATGAAGCGTTGAATTGGTGGGAAACCACTTTCTGATTGCTCATGTTGAATCCGTTACTTGGAAGTTCTTTATAAAAGAGTTCAAAAAGAAGTATATTAGTGAGCATTATCTGGATGAACACAAGAAGCGTTTCTTGTACCTTAAAGAATGTGACCGACCCATCAAGTAGTATGTGAAGGACTTCTGCAAATATTGCAAGTACGGGTCAAAATACACCAGGAAGGAAAGTGACAAATGTCGAATGTTTATCGACTAATTGAACGACGAGCTAAGTCCTATATTCACTACCATGGAATCACTGACTTTCAGATCCTGGTGAACCGGGTTATCACTACTGAGGCGAAGATAAAAGCTTCTGAGAAACGCAAGAGTGACAGTTTCTGGAAAGATAAACGACCCAGGAGTGATGACAAACCCCATTGACAATCCAAGAAGTCCAAACACAGCCAGGAAAACTCGTTCAATCACATTTCTGCTCACAAGAGCAACTATATTCTGAAGCCTCAGTCAATTTCTAAGCCTACAGTCCCGATGGTCTTTATGGATAGTACGGGGAATTCCGAGAAGATTTTTCAATATCCTACCTATAAAATTTTCCAAAAACATCATCTCGGTCAATGTAGGACTCATCAGAACTTATGCTACTTGTGTGGAACCTCGGACCACTACATCCAGGAGTGTCCATAGAATCCAAGGAAAGTCCCGAACATAAATTATACTATTGCAAGTTCTAATCCTGCAAATCAAAATAAAGGCACTAATAGAGCCTAATCAATCCACCATGGAAAAGGCAAGGCAAATCATTCGAATACCCGTACTCACACTAACCAGGAATCTCGAACCCTTGCTTCTATCTATCACATTCAGGGAAAGGAGGATGGAGAAGCTCTCGATGTTATTACAGGTACCGTAGAGTTAAACTCAATACCTGTTTATGCTTTAAAAGAATTCAATTGTAGCATTGAACTTTAGTTTTGGATTTAATATAATTATTGAATCATTAAGTCATTAATTAAGTGATGTGTTTATTTTATTTCTACTGAACTTTAATTTGTATATCAATTTTATCATAAAACTTTCAAATACTTCATTTTTGGACACTAAGCTTTACTTTGAGTATCATATTGTTCCCCTACAAATAATCATCAACGCCTTTGGCTATCGTTGTCACTCAATCACCACCAGTCACCGATCAACATTCAAGACAAATAAATGTCAAAACATGCACATTTTATTCATTCTCGGATTAGTTTTCCACAAAATACACTCAAAATGATGAAAATTCATCTAAACTGTATGTGTTATAATATCCTGATATACTCTAAAAGTCATTCGATGAGACTAGTTTTCAGGTACTTTATTTGTCTCGTTGAAAGAATGCTTCACATCATTTGAATTTTCAAAAAGAAAAGCATCTTAAACCACTTAAATTCATGAAAACCCCTAAACCTCTAAATATAATAAATTTTATATGTTTAATTTCGTGAGTTTTAAAGAGATTTTAATAAAATATAAACTAAAAAAGTGATGAAGGATGATGAGATGCATTCATTGATGTTTAAGGTAGTCGTAAAAAAATATTGAAAATGACAATTTTATATGGTGGCTAAAAAATAAAAAAAAACCATAATTTTGATAAAAATAAGATAAAATAGATTAAAATATTAACTTTTAACTTTTACATCAACAAAAAAATTAGCATATCATCCATCTATTAATAAATTAATAATTTAATATTATAATTGAAATTGAAATTAAAAAAATTACATTACAATTGAATCAATTTAAAGTCTGATGATAAAATTGATAGTAAACAAAAGTTCACTGGTATTTGAAATAATTTATGCAAAATTATAATTATCCTAGATTTCATCAAATAGTAGGCACGCAAAATTATAGAAAGAAATGGTGCTCTCTCTAGTCCCTACACCCACCAATCCACCAACCCAGAAAACAATCCCACGCGCCAGCCTAACTTCACAACATAAAAAGGGTAAACTACATGTTTAGCACCCCAACTATCACTATTGTTCCATTAGAATTATCTAAAATGTTTTTGTTCAAAACCAGACATAATGTTAGGTTTTGATTTTATTTTGACCATTCACCATTAAAGATTAAAAATAATTTTCACATGTCACCATAAGATAATATTACATCATCATTGATTTTTTTTTAAAAATATTCACATCAATGGTGGTGTTAATTTTTTAACTAAAATGAAACAAAAATAGAATAAAGGGATAAATATGTACTCTACCAAAAAAAAGGGAGAGATCTGGTTGATAGGCCGTACAGCCCAGCCAGTAAGCACCATTAGGTTATAAATAGCAACACCTCCATTGCCACAACTCGTGCCGCTCCTTACTCTGCATCTTAATCTCTATATCTAAGGTTCACTTCTGTCTCGGGTTCAACCTCCGTTCTTATTTACGGTACGGTTTGGTTCCTCCTCTTATGGCTCATGTTTGCCCCTTCCCCCTTTTTATCTTTCTTTATCATCTGTATATTATCTTCTTTCATTCCTTTTCAACTATGCTTTTTTATATTCCTTTCTGGGTCTTTTTTGATCGGTTTAACTCGAGTTTATCAACTTTGATTTTTCTGGTTTTTCACCCAGATCTACGTGTAAATGTTAGCATTTCTACTTTTCCTATTGGTTTTCTTTGTGGGTTTTTGTTATTAGGATTTGATCTTTCCATTTTTGAACTTGTTTTTTTCTTTCTTTCATAAATTACACAAAAACTTGTGTTTCTGTGATTTTGATTTACTTGCAAGTGTAAGCATTTCAACCATACCTGTTGATTTTCTTTCTGTGATTAAAAACGATTGCTATTTTCAACATTCGCTTTTGAAAATAAAATTTATTTCTGCTGTTTTTTTCTTCTTGCTAATATATGCTAGAAAGTGTAAGCATTGACCAGTCTTTCTTTTATAATATATATATATACCCAGAAATTTCAGTTTATTTTTGTTTACTATTTATTAGTGTTTGATATTTAACTTGGGTTCCTTGTTTTTGAATTTTTAATGGTCCTGTGTTATTCTATTGAGTTCTGTCGGTTAGATTTAGCATTTTATCAAGTTCTTTTGTCTTATATTTTTTCAGTCTGTTTATGATAGCAATTTATTAAATCCTACCTGTTGGGGTTGTGAAAGGTATAGATCTTCAGTGTTATATTACTTAGTTTGGCATATTGGGATTTGGATACTAATATATAAGTCCCAGTAACACAGGGTGTAATCATTGGTTTCTAGCTGTAAAACCTAAATTTAAGTAAGTTAGTATTAACTTGTCTTGAAATTTTTAGATTTTTTTGTCTGATTTTCTAGGATTCCTTTATTCAAGTTTACAAATTCAGATCTTGAATTTTAAGTACTTTAATCCATGTGTTTTTTTTATCTAATTTTGAAGCAAAGATTTTTTTCTCATATGCACATGTTTTGGTTACATAATCTTAAGCTAAGCCAGTGCATTTTTTTTTCATTTTAGGTAATAACTTCCAAAAATATGAATTCGACTAAGCTTTTGACAGAGTCCATATAAATTACAGATGCATCATGGATCTTAGCTTTGATTTTGATGATTTTCAGTTTTATAATATATGACATGTAAAGTTGTTGTATATTGTATTTGATCGTATATAAATAAAGCTAAATTTATCTGTTATTTCAGAAAATGGCCTCACACATTGTTGGATATCCTCGCATGGGACCCAAGAGAGAGCTTAAGTTTGCTCTGGAATCTTTCTGGGATAAGAAGAGCAGCGCCGAGGATTTGCAAAAGGTTGCAGCTGGTCTCAGGTCATCCATCTGGAAACAAATGGCTGATGCTGGGATCAAGTACATTCCCAGCAACACTTTCTCTTACTACGATCAAGTGCTCGATGCCACAGCAATGCTTGGCGCTGTACCTCCTAGATATGGTTGGAATGGTGGCGAGATCGGATTCGATACTTTTTTCTCAATGGCCAGAGGAAATGCCTCTGTGCCTGCCATGGAAATGACCAAGTGGTTTGACACCAACTAGTAAGTTTCCATGCTTGGTCATGCTATATTAGCTTTGTTTTGCATGCTAGTTTTCTGAAACTGGCTCTTATATTCCGTGCAATGTGTTGTTTCAGCCACTTCATTGTTCCCGAATTGGGACCTGATGTTAAATTCTCTTATGCATCTCACAAGGCAGTGGATGAGTACAAGGAAGCTAAAGCAGTATGTTTTTTGGGTCTAATTTTTTCTCTATATTTATGACAATATAGATTGTTTTCTGTGATGTGACTTAATATTTAATTCTAGCGGCTCAGTTAGTAATTAGAGGTAAGGTATCAAATGTTAAGATCCTGCAAGTATGGTGGTTGCCTGAAATTTGGGAAATGAGATGCATGCATGAGTATATCAAGGATTTAAATATTGGGAGCTATGTAGCAGTAAAGGTATTGTGCAACGCAACCACAACCACAATTTAAATCCATGGAGTATATTCATTACATAGATGATTTTGATGGAAATAGCTGGACTTGTAAGTTCTTTTATATGGAACTTTTTAATGGCTCAAACATAGTTTAAAGGCTTTGGACCCAGATAAACATCTTTTAGCAATTAGCATTCGTTCTTTTCTTTAATGCCCTTGGACATATGGTTAACTGGATAATGGCTAATGTGCTGGTTTCATGTCTGTCATTATTGTTACCGATTTTACATAAAAAAGAATAATTTATATCTTCCTGGAATTGTATTTTATACAATCCTTTTTTGAGAATTTGCCTGCAAGACTGGGAGTACCAACCAGACCCACTTGATTATGGTGCTCCACTTGTATCCTGTCTTTCATACTCATCTTATTTGATGTTCTTAATCTTATTCTGAAACGTAATTGTTGATTCACTGTCCCAAATGCAGCTTGGAGTCAACACCGTGCCAGTTCTTATTGGCCCTGTCTCATACTTGTTGCTGTCTAAACCAGCAAAAGGTGTGGAGAAGACCTTTTCTCTTCTCTCACTTCTCCCCAAAATCCTCCCTATCTACAAGTAAGAATTGATTTTCCTTTTATTTGTTTCACACACACACATAGCTGCTTCAATTTGTCATTGTAACATTGAATCTCTGCAGGGAAGTGATATCTGAGCTTAAGGCTGCTGGTGCTTCCTGGATTCAGTTTGATGAACCCACCCTTGTCTTGGACCTTGAAGCTCATCAATTGCAAGCGTTCAGTGCTGCTTATGCTGATTTGGAATCTACTCTCTCTGGTTTGAATATTTTGATCGAGACCTACTTTGCTGATCTTACTTCTGATGCATACAAGACCCTCGTTGAATTGAAGGGTGTCACTGCTTATGGTTTTGATTTGGTTCGTGGAACTAAAACCATTGACTTGATCAAGAATAATTTCCCCAAGGATAAATTCCTGTTTGCTGGAGTTGTTGATGGAAGGAACATTTGGGCCAATGATCTTGCTTCTTCTCTTAGCACCTTGCAGGCTCTTGAGGCTGTTGTTGGCAAAGGTATTTGTTTTTCTCATCGCATTTTATGGTGTTCGTAAAATCATAATCATATGGAGAGTATTACAATTTTGTTATTTGTCTTAGACTAATATCTTTGACCTGTTTCTGATGTACAGAAAACCTTGTGGTATCCACCTCCTGCTCACTTCTCCACACTGCAGTCGATCTAGTAAATGAGACTAAGCTCGATGATGAAATCAAATCCTGGCTTGCCTTTGCTGCCCAGAAAGTTGTCGAGGTCAATGCAGTTGCCAAGGCATTGGCTGGTCAGAAGGATGAGGTATTTATTAGAAGATTTCCCGCCTTTCTTAATGTTCGGACAACACCATGTAACTTACCAGTTATTCATCCATCTTTAGGCCTTCTTTGCTTCCAATGCCGCTGCTCAGGCTTCAAGGAAGTCCTCCCCAAGAGTGACCAATGAAGCTGTTCAAAAGGCTGTAAGCGATTTGATAAATTAAAATTCCATTTTTCTCCTTTCAAGTGACTGCTCTGCAATAATCTTTTTCATCATCAAAATCTTTATTTGCTTACCATGTTTTACGGTGCTCGCATTCTCAGGCTGCTGCTTTGAAGGGCTCTGATCACCGTCGCACAACAAACGTTAGTGCTAGACTGGATGCTCAGCAGAAAAAGCTTAATCTGCCAATCCTCCCCACCACAACCATCGGATCCTTCCCGCAGACATTGGAACTCAGGAGAGTTCGTCGTGAATTCAAGGCTAACAAGTGAGTTGATCTGGAATTTTTTCCTCATCTTCTTATAATATGTCAACACGACCATTCTTTTAACTAATGCTCTTACATTCCCTATAGGATCTCTGAGGACGATTATGTTAAAGCAATCAAGGAGGAAATTAAGAAGGTTGTCGATCTTCAGGAAGAACTTGACATTGATGTCCTTGTTCATGGAGAGCCTGAGGTGAGTATTCCGCTTTGTTTTGGCCTTTAGCAGTAAATGGGATATGCATATATGGTTTGAACTCCGCAAGCATCCTAATATATACTTCAAATTGTGCAGAGAAACGATATGGTTGAGTACTTTGGTGAGCAGTTGTCCGGTTTTGCTTTCACTGTTAACGGGTGGGTGCAATCTTATGGATCTCGCTGTGTCAAGCCACCAATCATCTACGGTGATGTTAGCCGCCCCAAACCAATGACTGTTTTCTGGTCATCTACTGCCCAAAGCATGACTAAACGCCCAATGAAGGGAATGCTTACAGGCCCTGTTACCATCCTCAACTGGTCGTTTGTCCGAAATGATCAGCCCAGGTATGCTCTAGAAAGCCAATAAAGGAAAAAATGATCCAAAATTCTACACTTGTACCTGTGAATTTTGCTTTGCAACATGAATATCTTTTAACATTCCACAATTGCCAAATTTTCCAGATTCGAAACTTGCTACCAGATTGCCTTGGCTATCAAGGATGAAGTTGAGGATCTCGAGAAGGCCGGTATCAATGTCATTCAAATCGACGAGGCCGCATTGAGAGAGGGATTGCCCCTTAGGAAGTCCGAGCACGCCTTCTACCTCAAATGGGCTGTCCACTCCTTTAGGATCACTAATGTTGGCGTCAAGGACACCACCCAGGTTTTATCTTGCTTCATTCTTTTGACCTCAAAGCTTTCTTACTTGGATCACCATAATTCTCATGCGTATTGCATTTAAAAAATCTTGTGACAGATCCACACCCACATGTGTTATTCCAACTTCAACGATATCATCCATCGATTATCGACATGGATGCTGATGTGATCACCATTGAGAACTCTCGTTCCGATGAGAAGCTCCTATCTGTCTTCCGCGAAGGAGTCAAGTACGGTGCTGGAATTGGCCCTGGTGTCTATGACATCCACTCTCCCAGAATACCATCAACCGAAGAGATTGCGGACAGGATCAACAAAATGCTTGCTGTGCTCGAGAGCAACATCTTGTGGGTTAACCCCGACTGCGGGCTCAAGACTCGTAAGTATGCTGAGGTGAAACCGGCCCTCAACAACATGGTTGCTGCGGCCAAGTTGCTCCGCACTCAACTTGCCAGTGCCAAGTGAGAAGCTCATCATGAGAGGTTGGAGTACCCTCCATTAATGGTTTATATGCCCCAGGAGGAGAAAAAATATTAAAAATGAAAGAGATGTAGGACTGTCTTGCCATTTGAATAACTGTGTTTTTCTTTGATGATATATTGGATAGGGGCATAATATGCCCTTGAGGCCAATTGATTTCCTCCTTTCATGGTTGTTTCTTTTTTCTCTAAATATCTCCTTTTTTATATATATTATCACAAAGAAAACCTGTTTGTGGGTTGAGTTGTGGAGTTGATGTAGGATAATTGATGATTTGTGTTTGTCCAGACTGCCCAAATAAGGGAAGAGCTAGTCCCCGATTCACTTTTGCCATGTTGCATACAAAAGGAATCCTAATGCCTAGTAGTGGAAATACTGTTTGTGTTGTAGCAGTGGCATTAGACCTGGCGAATATGATCCGAAACTCAATATAGATTCGCATATGATTACTCAAATTTGATCTGAAACTCGAATTTAAATAATCTAAATCGAAATTGACTTGAATTTTTGATCAAAAGTAACTCGAATTGAAATTAATCGGAATTGAAAGCAATCTAAATCACAAATAACAAATCGTAAGCAACCCGAACTGAAAGTAATTTAAATAAAAAACAATCCAAATTTAATTTACTTTATTTTTATTATTATCATATCTCTTTAGCAATGTGATAAATAATACAATTGTAAGCATAAAATCTCACTTTTAATACATATAATTTAATTATGGATAAACTACATCAGATATCCCTGAACTTTAGGTGTTGTATCATTTAGACCATTTAACTTTCAGTTTTGTCGATTATAACACTGAACTTTGATTTTCGTTTCAATTATACCACTGGGCCGTTAAATCGTTAACAACTAGACCTGGTAAATTTTTTGACATGAACCCGATTACCCGAGCCAATTTATCTAAACAAAGACCCGAAATAAACCAGAACATGATGACCCAAATTTGACCCGAAACCCAAAAAATAGAATAGAACTTAAACCAACCTGAATTTTAGCCAAACCAAAAGTAACCCGAACCGAAAATAACCTGAAATGAAAGCAACTTGAATCGAAAGTAATCTAAACCGAAAGCAACCGAACCGAAAATAACCCGTGCCAAAAGTAACCCAAATTTAATTTACTCAAACCCGATTTGAACCGAATTTGATTCGATTTTAGCCAGATAATTGAGCTAAAATGTGTAAATATTTTATTTTTGTTATTATCTATTTTTTAGCAACGTGTTAAATAATAAACTATTAAGATAAAATCCAAGTATATATATTAATTATTTATTTGATTTGAACTTTAATTATTTTTATTAATTAAATATCTAAATTTAAAATTTATATACCGAATTAAATATCTAATAATTAAATAAATATAAATTAACTTTAATATATATTTAATTAATTAATAATTATGATACAATTAATTTTTCTCTATTAAATATTTTTTATATAATTTAATTCTAATTTCGTACAATAATAATACCTTTGTCATATCGAAATTTATGTTAAATTTTATTTTATTTTTTCTTTTTATTTTCAATTTTTAATTTAATAATAATTTCGTAATTTAACATCTATTTTAGATTCCATTAATTAATGAACCAAAGTATTAAAATTAATCCTTAACTAATCTAAATAACAGTTTATTAATTAAATATTTCATTTTAGATTTCATTACCTAATGATTAAAAATTATTAAATTGGTTTTCAATTTATTTAAATCAAATTATAAATTATAAATTTAATATTTTACTTTGAAACTACTAAAATAACTTTTCAAAACTATTAAATTAATTTACAAATTATTTTAATTCCTTTGTATATGGAAAAAATACAATTATCTAAATTTAATATGAGAAAAACTTATTTTTACACTACACAAATAACTTACTGTAGACCCAAATAAAATAGAAACTCGAAATGATCCGATCCAACTTAAACTCGACCCAAATTAAGTCTAAACTCAAAATGACCCAAACCTAACCGAACTTAATTAGAATGATCCGTTCGCCACCTATATTAACAACTAGATCAAAACAACATCGTTTTGGTGATGTATCTACATTGACATTCGTCAGCCATGTCGGCAACCGTCAGCCACATCATCGAGTCGTTAACGATTTAACGGTTTAATAGTATAATTAAAACAAAATTCAAAGCTTAATGCTATAATTAGTAAAATTAAAAGTTCAGTGATATAAATAATACGACGTCTAAAGTTCGGTGGTATATGATATAGTTTACCCTAATAATAATAATAATAATAATATCTTTTATAAAAAAAAAGTACGATATAATATCCGAATTCGAAGCATTCATTTTCGTTCGTTCCCACTCACATAATAAACACCGAATATGAATTTATATCTCAACATCTGTTTACATATCCAAAGATCATATTCTAATCTGAACATGACTATCTTCAATATCTAAAAAAAATAAAGAATTCAAAACAAAAATGGAATCAAAGGCTTAACATTAAATCTTCAAACTTTGCAAGGTACCATCTCCTACTGGAATAACTTCTACCCAGCAAGCAACAGGTAGTTCCCATCGCATACGCAAACGAAAACAAAGTCTGGGGAATGAGAGCGAATCCCCAGAACCATAAAACCTTTAACAGGTAGTGAGGGCAAACCACGAATCCGAACAAACCCCCCTTTGGGATCCTTGTACTCTTTGTTGGCGCCTTCGTTTCTCAGCTTGGAAAGCAGGAAATGATGGTAGAAATTGCCAGTGATCCCTATGAAAAACAAGAGAATCCCAGGGGTTTTCAGATCAATTTCAGGCTCTTGAAGCCCCGTTTGTTAAGTATCGGTTGAATATCATGAGCGCACTGGAAATGAAATCATCGTTTCCACACCCAGTTCCCCGCTGATTTATGAACAAAACATGACTGCAATAAAAGGTTAATTGTACTACATGTCCTCAAATTATGATTCTTATTTTAAATTAGTCCCTAGATTTTTAAACTTTCTAATTTATTCCTTATACTATGTTTGTCATTCTAAATTAGTCAAACTTTTGAGCATTTCAATTCCACTCCTAAACTTTGACCTACATTCCAAATTAACCCTTAAACTTTTTAAACATTTCAATTTCACCCAAAATAATATGTATGTACTAATCATTAGGCCAATTATATTCTTATATGTTTTTAAAAAAAATGAAACTTAGGTTAAACTATAGTTGAAACTAATTACATATTTCGATGAATTTTGAGATGAAATTGGAAGAGTCAAAATTTGGGGACCAATTTAAAATAAGGATCATAGTTTGGGGATAAATTAAAATACTCAAAAGTTTAAGGACTAATTCAATATGAGAGTCATAGTTAGGGGAGCATTAAAATATAATTTTATAATATCATAGTTAGCATACTAACGTTCAACTTAAACAATCTTTAATTTTTAACAAAAATCGATGCATGTGAATAATATGGTGACTAATTGTGTATTTTACCTCAAAAAATCTCTTGAAGAAATGGATGGAAATGGAGGATTTGAGCAAAAAAAACCTGAGATTCTCTTCTGGGTAAATCGCAAACGATGAAAGCCCAGCGAGAAAAGCAGGTGTATAAAGCGTGGGCATGGCGATTCTACTGGGGAGCGTTAACTTGTTCGATTTTTCTGAATCGGAAACGTTGAAAAACTTGGAATATTCATCGTTCTTTCCTCTAAAATCTGATAATCCAGCACTTGCCATTAACGTCAAAGATGCCGTCGACGTTGCAGTCACCAACGGATATGTCGGAAACAGAAATTTCAATAGCGCCATTGTTCTTCCAGTTATTTGTTTGCCAGTAAATATCTTATATTTTACCCTAAAAGATTATGCATTTTGGAAGAATTGTAACCACTAATTTTGGCATGGGATTGAATGAATGCTAAATAGGATTGAGTACTCATTTTACCCTAAAAAAACATCCATTTTTATCACTTTGGTATCTAAAATAGTTTGAAAGATCACGAACTAAGCTGTTTTGGTAGTTAAAAATATGTTTGTTATCTCTAAAAAATTCAAGTTCCAGCATCATATTTCAATATTTAAATTTTTAATTTTTTCAAAATCATGGCCAAGGTTTAGTTTTTATTTCATTTTAATACCCGACCGTTAAAAGCTTAACAAGTTTAGTACCTAAACTATCAATTTTGATCTGTTTTAGTATCTAAATTTTCAATTTTTTCAATACTTAACGTTAAATTTTGAGCGGTGTACTAAAATGAAACAAAGACTAAAGTTTTTAATGGCAGATACTAAAATAAAACAAAAACTTAACTTTAGGTATGATTTTGAAAAAAATTACAAGTTTATGTACTAAAACGGGCTAAAAGAGGTAGTTTAAATACTAAACGCATAATTTACCCTAAAACTTTTTATACTGTTGTGGAATTCAGGTTGTTTTCCACCAACAATAACGAATTCACCTTGAAAACTATTATCTAGGTGACTAGTGTGAAAACGATTGTACTAAAAATCACCCCAAGGTAGATTCCCAAGAAAGAGGAGGGGTCACAATGGTCCCTCTTAAAACCCACTTTCCTTAGACAGAACTACCAAGATAAGTAATTTTAATAGGACAATAATTAACAACAACTATACCCGATAATAGCTATTAAATAGACATAAAAGAGAACACCAAAATTTAACGAGGTTAGGCCAAAATTATGCCTAAGTCCTCGAATACTACTAAAATAATATTTCACTAATAGAGGAAATATTATAAAGAGAGAGAAAGAGTACAAATAGCCTTTAATATAGAAGAAAGCTTATATTTGTGGGATTATTAACTAAGGAGGAGGAGGGCTCTATTTATAACAAAAGAATTTCCCCTCCTCCTTATACACAATCAATGTGTGATTTTGCCAAAAAACCAACAAATCTCCACCTTGGCAAATTCCACACACATCTCTCAAAAATTCAATCTTCAATAGTGTCTGCAAATTCAATTTCAATTTGTAACAATATTGACCAAGTCTAAACAATGTTTAAACTTGACCGCAGTTACCACTTTTGTCAACATATTAGCAGGATTCTCAGTGGTCCGAATCTTCTGGATTATGACTCCACCTTCTTCTAGAATCTCTCGTACAAAGTGATATCGAACATCGATGTGCTTCGTCCTTGCATGGTAAACTTGGTTCTTTGCTAAATGAATAGCACTCTAACTGTCACAGTGTACTTTGATGTGCTTCTGTTCCATTCCCAATTTATCAAGCAACCCTTGAAGCCAAATTGCCTCCTTCACAGCCTCTGTAACT